CTCTCGTGCCGGTCTGGAGCCGCTGACTGCAGTGGTATGTCAAGGAATCTTTTCCCTGATTCCTATCGGCATTAGGGGGGAAAAGGCTATCCATGATGCTTTACTAAAGACTAAAGCCTACAGCACCTTCGGAGATGTTCTTTGGTTCGGGATTGGGGTCAGACACATTCTTCGCGAGTTGCCAAAAACATCTGAAGGTGCCTCCAGTGTCGCAATTGCTGCAGCGCTGGCGGAAGGCTTCTCGGTTGACTTTGGGGCAGCAGTGCTTTTTGACCTTGCCAAGTTAACAGGCAGCCCTGCTGAACTTACACCGTCTTTTTCACAATGGCGGGTGTATTCGGAGATTTGCTCACGCATCCTTACCGCAACTGGGTTTGGTGTCAGGGTGAACCAGCTCGTCAAGGTTCTAGGGTTTGCCAAAGGCTTTGGCCCCCGTGACCGTTGGCCTGTTGGCAGGGAGTTTGAGGATGAGGCAAACGACGCAAGGAAAATCGCAGGATTCCTCCTTACAATCGGATCAATCAAGCGGGGAGAAACCCAAGCAGTTGAAATATCCGGTGGGTTCTCCTGCCTTTGGGCATACGCTCTGTGCGACATGATTTTCGGAATATGGGCAGAGATTTTCGACAGACAACAAGACGGCCTTGGGATGGTTGCACAGAACTATGACCAAGGCAAGAACTCCTATCAAGTTCGTTTCATGGTCGATGGACCTGAGTCTTTCAAAGGGATGTTGCAAACCAAGTCGACATATTCATTGCAATACGGCGTCCCGGCCAAACACCTCAATGGCCGTGATATTGGCTGCAAGCTTCGAGTTTCTGCAAGCGAGATTATATCAAGCATCTTTGGTGATGAAATCATCGGGGCCCTTCAGAAGGAAGCTCATCTATTAGCTGAGGTCTTTGGTCGATATGTATTGCTCAAATACTACACATCTTCCCCTCAACTTTCAATGTATCTGAGCAAACACGATTCTCCACAAGATCTCCTGGATCATCTCATTACTGCAATGCCAGAGCTTGGGTTTTCCATCGACCTCACAGCAGAAGTCATCCAAAGGGAGCAAGAGAGATATCAGGTACCCCAAACGAGCCGTGGGGCCTACCCGTCAAGTGGCATCCATGAAGCACTGCACAACATCCCGGTTGAAATTAAAAGAATCTGGCTTGCTTCCATTCGACTGGCATATGCGCTTTCAAACGTCATATTAGATGAGCCATTGCACCCAACGAGAATTGGATTACGTCGCTTCTTTCAAAATAGGGACCGAGACTTCCGATACCTGATCACCGGTTACACCCGCGCTGACAATGAGACTGAACAGTAAGTCGATCCGGAATGGACTGCTGTGGACTACATCGGCTTGTTTTCTGGGTGGACGTCCGAAGAGATATGGAAGGTTCCTTCAAAAGAGAAGAAGATACTTTCAGGCACCTTTCAAAACCTAGCGACAAGTAGAGAGGGTATCTACTGCTACTATCAATACTTGGCAGACCCCTTTCAATCTTATCAAGATGCGAAGAAAGTTCACATAGGACGTGGCACTGTATCTGTCGGTCGCAGCCATCACGTTTATCGGGATATTTGGTCTCCGGATCGGAGCGACATGATGCCGTTCTATGACAACCTATTCTGTGGTGTTCCAGTAGCCACTAGCGCAAGACTTATGGTCGATGAAAGCATTGCGGGCGTTAAAGTATGGTACGAGCAATGGGGTGAGACTCACATCGAATATGTGGAGGCTTCTCATACAGATGAGGTTGATAGCAGGCAAGCAGTAAGCCTTGGCGAGGCCTTGGAGAATGGCTGGCTGGGATTCAAGGGAGCTTAGAGGGGCCCATACGGCACCGTTGGCGATTCGGTGAGCTCACTCAAAGACGAGACATTGGAAAAGTGGAAGAGTGTCTTTATGGCACCATAGGTAAGGATGCACAAATGCCTTAAGGTCTTCCTCGTCGCCGGTCCCCACAGCGGGTGCGAATTCGGTGCTAACCGGGCGAGCATCCAAGGGAGACATCGCTGAGATAAGGCTACGTGTTCCAAGCTTCATGTAGTGTCGCAATATCAATCTTTCCAATCTCCCTTAAATAGCCTGTAATATCCTCCTCATCTCTCCTCACTTCTCTGGCTGTCAGCCCGTTGCCGAAGTACTCGAACCGACTCTTATCAGCCCCAGGCCTCCGGACGAAGTGGAAGTCCTCCCATCTGGGGTCGCGAAGAATGTCGGCGCGGTGATGGAATGTTCCCGGCCACGCGATAAGCACGTGAGTCGCGCCGGCTCCCTGCTTGAACCAGCTGTTGCATTTGTCAGTCGTCACCTTGTTGTCGAAGTAGCCGTTGACTATGTCGTTGAACTCCCGTGCAGCTTCCTCACGTGGATTGAGGGACGCATAGCTCTGAGTTTGAACCTTGCGGATGCACTTTGCGATGTAGGTGGCTGCGATCTCAATCTGCAGTGGTACAGTTCCGCCGCGAGCGTTGCCTTGGGCCTAGAGGTAACATCAGCCCGGGATTTCTTTCATCGTTCTTATGCTGACCGTACCTGAAGAACTGTGAAATAGTTTGGGAATCCTGGTGCCATGATGCCCAGGTACGTCTCTGGATACCCAATTTTGCCATCTGGTGCCCACTTCTCGCGCAGATCGATGCCATCATTCCCGACCAGGGGAAATGCCGCAGAATAGGTCGTATCGAACCCCGTTGCTGCTATGATCACGTCGACCTCTCGTCGCTTGCCATCAGCTGTAATGATGCCTGTTTCATCTACAGACACAATTGCATCTGTCACATAATCAACCTTCTCCGACTGTAGTCCCTCTAGATACCCTGGTGCGGGGGTTAATCGTTTGCATCCCGGGGCATAGTCAGGGAGGACTCTCAGGAGCCAGTCTTCGTCTCCGTTGAGCCGCTCCTTCATGCATTTGATGATTTTCTCCCGAAGCTCGGCATTCTCTTTGCTTCCGATAACATCTGCCGCAAAACGATTATGAAACTTCGTCTCGAAAGCTCTGCGATGCTCAAGGTAGTAAGCTGGATCTTCTTGAAAGCGTTGTATCTCCTCATCAGTGTACTTTGGACCTCCAGGAGCATCTGCCGTTGCCTCATGAAGGTTTCCAGTGAAGGTTGGAGTAACCCACGTTTTGGTGCGAACATAATGGTCGATATGAGAAACTTCAGGGAGGATATTTGGCAAGATCTGCTGACCGGAGGCACCGTTTCCAATCACAGCCACCCTCTTTCCTGCAACTTTGAAACTTTCAGGCCACCGTGCAGTATGGATGACCTTTCCTCGGAAGATGTTTTGAAGTCCATGAATATTGGGGAACTTTGGGTTGCTGATGCGACCTTGCGCGTTTACGAGAAACTCCGCTGTGTTGACGAACACATCCCCGTTTCTCAAGTCGCGAATCTCAACGGCCCACTGAGATGCTTCTGAAAGCCAAGTCGCCTTGACAATCTCGTGTTCGAGGTGGACCGAATCGTCTAAGCCGTGCTTGCTTATAACCTGCTCGTAATATGCCTGGATCTCCGCGCCTTTGGGGTAGTATTCAGACCAATTTGTGTTCGGTTCGCAGCTCAGTTCTGCGGTATCAAGTTAACTGACTGGAGACGATTTGAGGAGAGTCAAATGCGAAAGAGGAAACTCACGATAGGCATGAGAAGGCACATCGCACCGAACTCCCGGATACACGTTCGCAGCCCATGTTCCTCCCTGGGTCTAGAGTTAGAAGGGAGCTCGGAAGTCATCAGTCATGGATGGGATAGCCTCACCACTCTGCTTTGTCGCTCGTAGACTTCGATGGTCGAATTCTTCACCTTATGGGACAAGAGAACGGCAGACGCTATGCCTCCAATGCCAGCCCCGACAATGATGATCTACCTCGAATCAGCAACGGCAGTATAGATGTTCGAACGCCACGTAATTTAACTTTAACAGAACGAAAAGGCTCCCAAGGTCTGTTCTTTGGGAAATATTTGGCACTGTTTCTTGACGGCTCGTTATCACCGTTGACTGACGGGCTCGCCTGCTCTTCCGTGTCACTGGGTATCTCCATCCGTGCCATGGTCCGCATCAAGAGAGATGTTTGTTGTGTCGTATGAGAAAACACGTTTACTCTCGAGACTTTTTGCCACTCAATTTCTGTACTGCCATAAGTATCTTAGGTAGAGTAGGGCTGTGGTTCTGACCGAAACGCGTCATCTATCCAAGACCCGTAATTGACAGTCGTCGCTGGAGATAACTTGACCGCGGGAAACACGATAAGCTTGTAGATGGACTTACGAGCAATCGATAAACAAATTTACAACCAGTCTTGGACGCATTCTATTCGCGCTAGTAGCATCGGCACCAAGTTATGGTGATCATAAGGTATTATCCAAAGAGCGACACCCATTGCGACATACCGGCTCCACATCACACAAGACAAGACAAGAGGTTCAGATAAGGTGTGAACCAGCAAGGATGGTGACACAATTTGGAAAACTGTCCGTATTAACCCCCGTTGGCTTGCTTTGCTGAAGATTTATCACTGGTCAGAGGCAACAATTTTAACATGGGTGTGATCGCGTCAACGGCGTGGCCCCCACGTGCTCAGCCGTTGATACCCGGAAATAACGGTTATCATATCTTGGCCTCAGACACAACGTTGCTGAAGATCCAGAAGCTCTCTTGGGTAATCGTTACGGGCAAGAGATAACATCCCATTGCGCCATTCTGGGTGTTCTTCACGCAACAGAATGCGATTGCGGTATCGGAATTCTTGCGAGAATCCTGATTGGGCCTTTTGGGTTCGGCAGGAGCGTGTGCTTTTTGCCAGGTCCTCAGGAAGGGTTCAATGATCAAGTACTGAGGATCAAATAACCAAGTCTCCAAATCGATCAGTAGCTGAGCATTTAGCCCACGCAAGACCCAAACATTACCAATACTCTTTCATTAGTTTGTTCTCAAAAGGTTTGTTCTCGGAAAAGTGTTACGTTGTATTCTAATTCCTGGAGCCATGGCAGAGAAACAGAGCTATGGTGTTGACATAGCCGCAAAATACCGGCTAGAGAACGCACGCGACGAGGACCGACAAGAAGATACGGATGATCCTCCGGAGGAACACCGACCGAACCGAAACTTCAGCAAAAAGTCATTTTTTGCCTGGTTCGACAGAAACGATGGACCCTTGGAGCGAAAAGTGATACTGAAGCTTGACTTTTTCATTCTGACATATGCTTTCGTGGGCTTCTGGGTATGCAGTTGATTGTCAAGTGATTTGTCTGGGTTGGGTTTCTTGCTAATCATAACAACAGATTTTATACATCGATAGAGGAATCCTGACCAATGCGTACATCAGTGGCATGCGAGAAGGTAAGCGATATTCATTATATTGAAAAATCAAGATGACTCAACACTAGGCAAGATCTCGAGCTCTTGGGCAATGAATTGGTGCAATTGGGGTCCATCTTCAGCGTAGGGTACTGTGTGTATGTTGCTTTCATTTCCTTTTACAAATGTCTCCTATGCAGGCTCCTGATCGGGATTACAGATCTATGATACCAGCAACGCTCCTGGTCACCAAGTATCCTGCTCAATATGTAATTACGACTTCGATGACGATTTGGGGGGTATTTACATTGTTGTGCTACCGTGCAAACAGTTTCGCAGAGCTGGCAGGCTATCGCTTCTTAGTTGGTCTTCTTGAAGGTGTGTTGCGAGGTGTCGCGGAAAATGATGACGGCTAATTTAACAAGGACCTTACTTCTGCTCGATACATTATGTTCTCGGAAGCTGGTGAGTCACACCTGCTACCAACCCCCAGACTCTTTCAGGGCGACCTTCTGAAACTTAGGCTACAGGTATCGAGGCGACGAGCTTATGCGCCGAGCTGGAATATTCTACGTGTCAAGCGGCGTCGGCACGATGACAACCGGCCTTCTTGCTTCCCGTATCTATCAATCCTTAGATGGCGCTATGGGCCTTCCGGGGTGGAGATGGATGTACATTGTTGCGTCGATCATGACTTTCCCGATTGCCGCATGGGGGGCAATTACCTTCCCAGGTACACCAAAAGATGGGAAAAGATGGTACTTCACAGACGAAGAGTTTGCCTTGGCGAAACAAAGAATGATTCTTGAAGGTCGATTCGATCCTGAGGGACTGAGCTTATCTTGGCTTTCCGTCAAAAGATTCCTCGGCAGATGGCACTTTTGGGTGCTCGTCCCTTAGAATGTGATGTGGCTGATGGGTTATGAGAGTATGGTCACAGGGAGCCCAACTTTGTGGCTGCGAAGCAACGAACAATATTCTGTGGCACAGGTCAACAACTTCACCGTGAGTCCCGAAACCCCCTGGCGTAAACTACCATTGCAACTCATTGATTTGTATCTCTAGGCAATCAGTCCAAGCATCGGGATCTTATTCATTCTCGGGTTCTCATGGACAATTGATAAGGGTGGGCAGAAAGCAATCGCTCCCTTGATTGGAGCCGTCAGCCTGCTTCATTTCATATCCAAATTTGCTTGGATAGTTTACGATCACACTTCATTTGGTTTCAAGTGGTTCGCGGTGGCAATTAGTTACATCGAGGTCTCCCTCTCTCCCATTAACTACAGTCTGGCGAATCTTGCTTGCGCCGGCGATGCTGAAGAACGAGCCTTTGTCGTCAGTTCCATGTTAGCAATCAGTACAGCCTTCGGAACATGGGTTCCTATCGTGGCGTTTCCAACGGTTGAAGCTCCTCGCTTTTTCAGGGGTTATATCATGGAGGCAGTCATGCAGGTGACATACTTTTCATGGACTTGTTTCGTGGTTTGGTACTCGGCGAGAGATCGGCATCGTCAACAGAACGCAGAGGACCCTACAAGTTATTCGTCTACATAGACGATGTTTCTGCGAGCCTAGAGGTCTAGATGGATCTCCTCAGAGCCACGACCAGCTTTTTCTGGTGTTAGTTGGCGGAGCCTTTGTATCCTCCCAATCGAAATCCACGCAAATGGACCAGATGCGCGTAGTAGCCCTGGAAGTAAAGCTTTATCAATTGCGCAAAAGCTCATCGCGTCCAATCACTATGTACGAAGTGACAAGACCTCCATACATTAGTCGAAGCATACGCTTTGACCTTTGCTGTTCGGCCGGAACAAAGACGACGACGACGACAGCGAGAATACGGGAAGTCCTCCCTCCGCATTGCGCAAGTATAATCTTTACAACATTTTCGCAAAATAGGCTGCTTGAATTCGTTCAAGACGTAATCAATCTCCATTTGCAACGATCACTTGGCCTTACGGGATAAGTTCCGTCATGACTCCGATGTCGCAATTCCGTTTCATCAGAATTCGTTGCCAGAATTGATGATCAGGTTACTCGTATGGCTTGTTTTGATGCACCTTAGGACGGCACATTCGTGCGGAGTGCATACAATTGCGTGCTAGATGCACTACAGCGAATCGGAGGGGTTTGGATTCACTTATCAATGGCGCAATTGAACAAAACATCCCACATCCAAAGGATCAATCACGCAAGCTTTTTCAATGCCAGCAGACGGGGCATTCTTGAAATCAGCACACATACTCGAAGATTAGTACAGGTTCTTCTTCTATCTCTAGGAGGTCTACGTCACCTCCAGTCGTTCGGTGCCAACGTCGTCCGCGACTCCTAATAGATCTCTTCCTTTTCACTTTCGCGAGATTTCGTTATATCCCAAGTACAAGAGCAGCAATTTTGATTCCTTCAAAATTGTAGTCAACTCATTGCTGAATAAGCTTATTGACAGTTACTTCAACCCATCAGCTTCACCGAGACATAATGGCGCCGGACACCCCTCTCCACCCAGCAGAAGCCACGTCAATCGATCTTCTCAAGGGCAAGATTGATGGGGAGCGAAGATACGGATATTACGTAAACGGAAAACAGAAGAGAATCCTTTTAAACGCGTTTGATATGAACGGCGTTGGACATATCAGGTACGCGGATGGTTGAGTGGTCTGTCAATTGGTTATACTCACTAGTACTGAAAGCATAGGACAGTGGCAGAACCCAGAAGACAAGAGCTCACACAAAAATCGCTTGCCCTACTGGATCGAGTTAGCGCAGCTCCTTGAGAAGGGCAAGTTCAACGCTTTATTCTTAGGTATGTCAAAATTCCATGTGCTTCCTTAAGCCGGGTAGCTCATCTGTGAAAGCAGACAACTTCGGAAGCCACGATGTGTACCAGAAGAGCCATGCCCCTGCCATTAGATCGGGAACCCAATGGCCACTTTATGATCCATTCGTGGTAAGTTACGTCTCAACTCGGAGCCTCTCAACCATCAACTGACGCAGAAAAGGCCATCTCGGCTATGGCTGCTGTCACCAAGAGCCTCGCTTTCGGCGTCACAGCATGCACCACTTTTGAGCCCCCGTTCATTCTGGCCAAAAGATTTTCGACCTTGGATCATGTCACTGAAGGCAGAATTGCGTGGGTAAGGTTGTCTCAAAGCACAAGCCACTTTTGACATAATCATTGACAGAGAACACGCAGAACATTGTCACCTCCTGGAGTGACAATGCTACCCGAGCTATGGGCCTGGAAAAGCTTCCGGAACATGACCTTCGTTATGAGATGGCGGATGAGTATTTAAGCCTAGTTTATAAGTAAGTAAACGTGCTCACGGTCATGTGCAGATATTGTTTGCCAGCTAACATGATAATTAGACTCTGGGAGGGGTCATGGGCAGATGATGCTGTGGTCAAAGACTCCAAAACATCTACGTTTACTGATCCTTCTAAAGTCAAGAAGATCGTGCACCAAGGACGGTTTTTCAAATCCGAGAGTGCTCATCAGGTCGATCCCAGTCCTCAGAGAACCCCTCTTCTTTTCCAAGCTGGCATGTCGCCAGCTAGGTCAGCATTTGCTGCAAAGCACGCAGAGTGCATATTCATCGGCGGCCCCAACCCGGCATTTCTTGCGGGCAAGATCAAGAAGACCCAAGACCTCGCCGCTGCACAGGGCCGAGATCCATACGACATCAAATTCTTCATTCAGTTTACCCTAAATCTTTCTTCCCTTCTAACTTTTCTTCTTCGCAGTTTGCCGCCTAGAGGCGCACCTTATTAACTACTATATAACTCTCATAGAGAAATATTTAAGGGCTAAGATAGCTTAAGCTTTATAGAGAAACCTCTTATTATAACTTATAAATAAAGATAATAGCTAAATAACCTACTTAGGCGTTAAGTAGCTAAGATAAGATATTTATACTATAAAATTATAAGAACTATAGGGATTTACTTAATATAGAAGAACTATATATTATAACCTATTATGCATAGATAATAGTTAACTAACCTACTTAGGTATTAAGCAGCTAAGATAAGATATTTATACTACTAGATTATAAAAATAGTAGAGACTTACTTAGGGATAGAAGAACTATAGTATAAGTTATATAATAATAAGATAACGATTATATTAGATTAATATAATCTAATATAACTTAGGAGCTAAATAATTATTTTAGATTAGAATAATTTAGAACGACCTAAAGTATAAAGGAATATATTTAGAATTAGATTTATATATAGTATAACTTTAAGCTTAGTTTATAGTTAGACTTCTATAGTTTTTTAATAATTAACTTAATATTTATCTTTAAGATATTTTTAGTTTATCTTTATTATAAATAACTTATTAAGTTTAAAACTAATTACTTTAGTCTCTAAAGATCTAATTTACTATAGTTTATAACCTTTAACTTAGATTATAACTTAGTATACTATTAGAATATATTAATCTTTAGCTTCTATTAGTAGACCTTATTATTAGAAAACTAACTATAATATTTTAATTACTCTTATTTAGTAAGTTAACTATTAATTCCTACTAATAGTAATAAATAATAATATCTTCTTATATTTTTATTAAGTTACTTATTTTTAGATTTTTATCTACTTCTAAAAAGTAAACTACTTAGAACTTAGTTTAGGAACTAAGAGATTAGAAAATAAAGGATAACTTAGATAGTAAAGATAATATTAAAGAACTTAAATACTAACTTAATAAAACTAATAATAACTTTAAAATAATATATAAAATATTTAATTAGAATACTATAATCTTTAGTAAACTCTAAGAATAAGCTTATAAGAATTAAGATTTAGAAAAAGAAGTTACTACTTTTTAAGCTACTACTAATATTATTTTAGCTTTAATTAAAAGATAGGAATAACTTAAGCTTAATTTCCTTACTATTTTTAATAAGATTTTAGGATAACTTAAAAAATATTTAGTTTAGATATAAACTTATTAAACTTTCTATATAAATTCTTTTTAGAATAAAACTAAATAAGTAATATATATAGTTATTTTCTTTAAAAAATAAACTTTAGCTTAATTTAAACCTTTTTAATAGGAATAGCTTAATAACTTTATTAAGAAATATAGCTAAGAAGTTAAGAATATCTTCTTTAGTTTTATAAGATATATTAAAACTTTTTAATTACTCTTCTTAGAACTAAATAAGAAAAAATAAACTAAGTATAACTTAGTTTATTTTAGATAAATTAAATCTACTTCTCTCTATATAGCTAAGTTTTAAAGAATTACTTTTTAACTTAATATAACTAATAAGAGTAAAATCTTTACTTTCTATTAAGAACTTAAGGATAATATTAAAGATAAAATAACTAAAGTTAATAAACCTCTTAGTTTTAAAAACTATATTAAATATATTATTAAGATTAATAACTAACTTTTTAAATACTATAAAGAAAAAAGAGAAAAAAAACTAAACTTTAATATAAGATATAAGTATTAATAGTAACCTTAATATAAGTTTAATAACTAGTAGAATAATAATAGACTATATAATAACTAGAATAATACTTACTAAAATACTATTTATAGATAATATAATAGACTTATAAACCTTAGTATAATAACTAAACTTAATAATAAGAAACTTTAAAACTTTAAGTATTATAATTATAATAGATAAAGATATATTACTAAAAATTATAAATAACTTAAGAAGTTCCCTTAAAAACTAATAGTAGAATAACTTTAATAAGTTAATATAATTATAAAAGCTTTATATATATCTTAGTTATAAACTAAATATTATAATAATAAATATTAAATTTATTTTAAAGATAAGGAAATATTAGGATATTATTTAAAGAATAATAACTTTAGATAATCTAAATATAATATAACTATCCTTAATACTTACCTTAAAACCTTAGCTATAATATATTTTAGTAATAATAGAATTATTAAGGAACTAGCTAAACTACTTAATAAAAAGCTATAAATCTAATAATTAAAGCTAGTTACTTTATATATAACCTCTTAATAACTCTATTATAAAGAATAATAAATCTAGAAAGAAATAGAAATAATTTAATAAGAGGATACTAAATAGATATAACTATACTAATAAGAAGAGTTAGAAGAAAAACTAGAATATTAATATAACTTATTAATAAAATAATAACTCTTTAGTATAATTAGTAACTAAACTTTTAGAGAAAGTAAAAATTTACTTTATAACTTAAATAAACCTTATAATATTACTTAATAATATACTTAAGTAGAGATTACTTATAGTTTTACTTTTAGTATAAATAATTTTAGCTTTAGAGAAGAATTTAATAACTAAGAAAATAAAATTAAATAACTCTTAAAATACTAAGAAATTAATATACTTTAAAATAAATAATAGTACTATTTCTATAGTACTTTAGTAAACTAATAAGACTAAGATTATACTTCTTAGTTATATATAGAAAATTATCCTACTTTATAAAGTAACTATTAATAATATTAAACCCTCTTTTAGTTTTAATACTTCTATAATAAGTATAAAAAATATATAAGAGATAAGTATAACTATTAATTCTATTTTAGAAAACTTAATAATAAACCTATTAAGAATATCTATACTATATATATTATAATTAGATAGATTATAATAGCTTTTAATAGAAGGATTACTATTTTTTAATTAAGTTTATAGTTCCCTATAAGATATTAATATAATAATAGTATAAAATAGGATAAATATTAGTATAATAAATATTAAGTTTACTACTAAAATAAAGCTTATATATAGAGAATTATAAAAAATAGACTAAGACCTCTATAAGTTAGAATCTATAAGAATAGCTTCACTAAAGTAGTATAGAAAAGAAAATAAATTACTTATTTAAAATAATTAGAGTAGTTAAAAAACTAAACTTACTTATTAATAATAGATTATAATAAGTAATAGGGAAAAGATCTATCTATTAAATATTATAAAAATATAAGAAGAATTTAAAACTTAAAATTACTTTTAATAAATAAATAATATTTATATTAATTAATAGTAAAGCTAAAGTAAATTTTATTACTTTTTAAGCTATTAATAAGCTAAAAGTATAATAGGGAAGAAAAGAATAACTATACTTCTTATATATAGTAAAAGGAGAAGAATTTAAGTATAAAGGAGGTATTATCTATAATAAGATTATACTTCTTAAGATAAGTTATTTAGATTAAAAAGAAAGAATCTAATTTAATATTACTAATATAAAGATATATAATATAGTACTAGGATTACTTTAGCTATAAATAAATAACTTATAGATAGATTAGAGTAAAGGTTAACTTTAGTAGGATTATAATAGTTTAGTTACTAAGTAGCTTTATAGAAAGTAGGCTTTAAATAAACTAATATAGTAAGAAATAGCAAAATAATATATTTATTACCTTAAGGCAAAAAGAACTATAATTTAATAAAATCTATAGCCTTAATCCTATAGAAATAGAAGCTTTAGATAAATACTTTAAAGAAAATCTTAAGAAAAGATATATTAAACCCTTAATATTACTAATAAGAAGCTTAATCCTATTTATACTAAAGAAAAATAGAAAATTATAACTATATATTAATTATTATATACTTAATAAAATAATAGTTAAGAATTACTATTTACTACTACTTATTAATAAAATAAAGAAACTCCTCTATAAAACTAATTAGTTTATAGCTTTTAATTTTAAAAAGACTTATAACTTAATTAGAATAAAATAAGGAGAAGAATAGAAGATAGCTTTTAGGACCTAAAAAGAATATTTTAAATACCTTATTATACCCTTTAGTTTTATTAATACCCCTATAATATTCTAAAATATAATTAATTTAGTTTTATATAAATATATTAATATTTATATAGTTATCTACTTAGATAATATCTTTATATTCTTATTAATATTAGAGAAATATAAAGAAGATATTTATTATATCTTATAAACTTTTTAAGAAGCTAAGTTTTTAATAGAACTTAAGAAAAGTAAATTCTATACTTAGAAAATAGAATATTTTAGATTTATTATTACTTCTAGAGAAGTTTAAATATTAGAAAATAAGATTAAAGCTATTAAAAAATAACTAGAACTTAAGAACTTTAAAGAGTTTAAAGATTCCTAAGTTTTATTAACTTTTACTAAAAATTTATTAAGAGCTATAATAAGATTAATATAACCTTTATTAACTTTAGCTATAAAAATACCTCTTTTATATAAGAGGAACTTTAATAAATAGCTTTTTAAAAAATTAAAGACTTTATTAATAGTAAATTAATTTTAATAATATTAAACTTTATTAAGTAGTTTAAAGTAAAACTAAACTTTTTAGATTATACTTTTAGAGTATAATTATTATAATAAAACTTAAAAAAAAGGTTATACTTATATACTTTTTTCTCTTAGAAACTCTATAAACTTAAACTTAACTATTAAATCTATAATAAAGAACTTATAGTAATTATTAAAGTTTTTAAAGAATAGAGATTTAAGTTCTTAAGAACTATATATAAAGTACTTATATATTCTAATTATAAGAACCTTTTATATTTTACTATATCTAAAGTATTTAATAAATAATAGATTTAATAGTTAGAATTCCTATCTAAATTTAACTTTTAGATTATTTATTATAAAAGATTAGAGAATAATAGAGCTAATACTCTTAGCTAATAATTAAACTATAATATCTTAATACTTAAAAAAACCTAAGTAATTCTTAAAGAAAATAGTAATAGAGACTTAGTATTAGCTATTAAACTCTTAATAATAGCTAGATAATTTAGTATTAGTTTATTTAGTAAACTAGATAATAAAGTAATTATAGAG